TTTGTCTTCATTAACATGAGAAACTTCTCCAAAAGAACGCACAAAGAAACAAAATGACAGATCACTACTAAGAGAATACGTTTATGAAACAGTTCCCAACAAAGGATTGCTATTCAGAATATGTTTAAAAAAACAAACAAAAAACTTATGCTAGTCAGTAGAAGAAAGAAAAACGCAATAGAAAAATGGGCAATAGTGAATGTTTTTTAGAAGAGGAAATGAACTGAAGCTAAGCATGAAAAGATGCCTGTATCAGAGTTCTTCAGGCAAACAGATTATATATATATATATATATATATATATAATATTTATATTTATATGTATTTATATTACGTACATCCATGTATAGAGAGATTGATTGAGGAGGCTGGCAACTCCAACATCTGTAAGGCATACCAGGAAGCTACAGACTCACACAGGTGTTGATGCTATAGTCTTGAGGCAGGATTTCTTTTTCAGGAAAACACAGTTTTTGCTCTGAAGGCCTTCATCTGATTGGATGAGGCCCTCCAACATTATCAAAGATGATCTCATTTACTTAAAGTGTAGATATTAACCCCATCTACAAAATATATTCACAGCATTAGTGTTTAGATTACTGTTTAATTAAATAACTGGATATTATAGCCAAGTTGATGCATAAAACCATCACAATGCCCTACCTTATTAATCAAGGAAATGCAAATTAAGATCACAATGAGATATAATTTTATAGGCACTAAGTTGACAAAATTTAAGTATCTGATAACATCAGGCATTGTAAGGATATGGATTAGTGGGATTCTAATGTACTGCTGATGGGAATGTAAACAGGCACAACCCTTCCAGCAACAAGTTGGCATTTTTATATAAAGAAGATCATTTGCATGAATACAGCCCAGGAATTTCATTCTTTCAGAAACTCTTGTACATGAATACAGGGAAATAAGACTGAAATAAGAATGAAATAAGAATGTAGGGGCCGGCCAAGTGGTGCTTTGGTTAAGAGCTGGCTTTGGACGCCAGAGGGCCCCAGTTTGGATCCGATATATGAGGGCCAGTGACACTGCCCTCTACAGCTAAGATACTGAACAACAGCTCAACCTGGAGCTGGGCTGCTGTGAGTTGCTGGCGAAGGTGTAGGCTGCAGCCCCTGCTGCAGTGGGTTGCCATGGGCTACCGTGTGTAGCCAGCAGCCAGCATGAGCAGCCAGCAGCTGCTGTGAGTGGCCGCCCAGAAGCCAGCAACTGATCTGCCTCGCCCAGGAAGATCACAATGATGGTGCCAACTTGGGCCAGTGAAGCAACGTCCTCCACAACTAGACTGAAGAACAAAACGACAGCAACTTGTCTGTTCCCCTTACCCCAATTCCCCAATAAAAACCTTTAAAATAAAAAAGAATGTATACGAATGTGATAGTAGTTTTTAAATAATATTTAAGTAGCCAAAAAACAATAACAACCTAGAAACAAACCAAATATTCATTGATTAAAAAAAGTGGATACATAAATCATACTATAGTTACAGAATGGAATATCAAACAGTAGTGAATAAATGAACAGCCATGTGCAACATGAGTGAATTTTCAAAATATAATATTGAGTATAAAAAGCAAGGCACAGAAAATTAAAAATAGCATGATACCATTTTTATAAAGCTCAGAAACAAATAAAACATGTTGTTTGGGGATACATACCTATGTGAGGAACTCCAGCTATGGGGAAAAGGGGTGGGATGGGCTAGCGAAGGAATGCACAGTTGATGGAACAGGGTTGCTGATAATCTAGTCTTTAAGTTTGGTGGTGAGTTCCTGGGTGCTTTTATACCGGGGCTGCCCAAAAAATGTATACACATGACTTGAATTCATCTTTTGTTATAGGTACATATTAAGTATTATAATTTTAATACAGTGTTTTCCTTTCTTAAAATGTATATACATTTCTTTGGCACCCTCTGCATGTTACAGATAATCTTTTTGCATTATCAAATCCCTTAAAATTTTAAAAGAAAATCAAAAGTATTCGTTGTTTTTTTTTATTTCAAAAAAAGTGGAATTTACAAGTAGGCTACTTTAATCTATGAGTCTCTCTTAGAAAAAAAATAACTTCTTAATGAAAATAAATCTGTGACAGGCTTAGAAGACAATGTGATTCAGGTTTAAAACTAAGGCTGGGTATCATTCAGGAAGAAGTCCAGACCAGCTGGAACAATAGTTATTTAACTTTTTTTGGCAGGGGTGGGGGGGTAGGTAGGGGGTGTGTGTTAGGTATTGAATAACTGCTTTGAGTTGAGAGCTACTGATCCTCTGCCCAGGAGACATTTGATTTCTGCAAAACTTTTCATTTAATTTCAGAGAATGATAGTGAATCTAGTCTGGAAATAGGTTACTAAAGCTATCTAATATGATCAATTTTGATAAACTCATCTTACTAGCAGAACTTTATAAGTGATATTGCCGGTTAGAGGACAAAGTGTTTTCATCAAAAGTCCTGCTTTGTTTCCTGGATTAGTATAGGGAGATATAATTTTAGCCCTTTTGGTTCTGTGTGATGGAGCATAGTAGAATTTTGGCAAATGGTTGTTAGGACTCTTTCAGGTTTTAAGTTTTTAATTTGGCCAACTTACTGCGGCTCAAATTGAGGGGTGACCCACTTTTGCCTGGGTCAAAACAACCAGGGCATGGAGGAAAATAATCTTTTTTTTTTTTTTTTCTTTGCAGGAAGCTTTGTAAGGGTTCCCACTTAGCAAAATCTACATCCCCCATCTGAGACATACAAAAGCCCCGATTAGAAATGTGGGTATTTTAAACATATTTCCAAGTTGCAAAATGCATCTTTGAATACTTGAGATCTCACTCAGGTAATTCTCTTAGCTGAATGGGCAACATAACATGTCATTTGTTGACTGGTACTTGATAATGTGAAGAGCAGTATCATGTTTTCTTTATCTGGCATTTGACAGCTGTTAACTAGTGAAATGAGAGATTAGAGTCTGTGCAACTAAAAGCATAGACTGGATCTCTTCAAACAAAACCGTTTCACCGACTACATAAAGTATTAAATTAGCTGATTGGCAAGATGTATATGGTATACTATTGAGAGAGTTAGGTTTTCTTATTGAAGAATAGAGTATATGTTTTTTTAAGTCCAAGAAAACATCAAAGCTTACAAGATAAAAAATTATAATAGTCTGTATATTGATCATATTACTATATAACTCATCAAACAATATTTTATAAAATTGGTAAGTATATGGAGTTTAAAACATATCTAATTTTGACTTACTAATAAGGAATACTAAATTATCAACTTAACCTTTATCTTTCTTATCATAGGTGATCACCTTTTTTTTCACCCAACATCATGTTTTTATACTTTGCCTATCATATCACTCCCCCCACCCCCACCCACTTGCATTAGATTAAAAGGGAAACTATTTGTCAACTTCTAACTGTCCTCTTATCTATTTTCCATTTCCATATGATCACTTCTTAGGGTACTAATGGTATTGGTTTTGTAACTCTTAGCGGTAATATACTATTTTTAATTAGTACTAGAAAAAATAAGCAATATGGTATAGAGGTTAATTATGTGGTTCCTAGAACCAGACTGACTGGTGAATCTTAACTTAGCAAGTTACTGTAAGTACATGACTTCAGCAAGTTACTTGACTTAGCTCTGCTCTGGTTTCCTTATTTTTAATAAAAGGGGTGAGTTCAGTGCTCTGGCACCTAGCAAAAGCTAAATGAATGCTAACTGTAATAATGGAAATAATAAGAATTATTGTTATTGAATTAATTAGTTTAGATTGTAAACTTAACATACCAGCACTTGTGTATACGTATTTAGTTTATTCATGTGCGATATAGAACAGGTTGGATATAACGCTCCAGTTTGGGATCAAAATGTCCACTTATATGATAGTCCAATTCCTTTAAAAAATAATAACTGCCGGTCTGGCCGAGTGGCTCAGTTGGCTAAGAGCTCGCTCAAGAGTGCGAGCTCTGAGCAACAGCAGTTCAATTCCCAGCCTGAGCTGAGCTGCCGCAGAGCTGCCAACAGGTGGCAGGATGGCTCAACTAAAAAATAAAATAAAATAATAATAACTGCATCTGTTGTGTATTATGAGTAAAAATTTCAAGGCCAAATAGCAATTTAATAAAAATAATTAAATTATATTCATTTTAGTGCCTGAGTGCCTAGCATATGCAAAGTACTATAAGTAATATACAAATATATGAAATATAGTTTCTGTAATCAAGTATTATCAATTTAACAAGAAGGATTAGGAATAGAAATCTACTTTTTCAGGCCCCCAGGTGTATGGAAGGTATGATATCAAAAGAAACAAGTTCAGATGGGAATAATGACAGAAGCAGAATGAACCACAATGCCAGTTTAAACATCTTGGGGAGCCCAGGGGAAATAAATTGAACTACGTATGGTATCTTGGTGGTTGTTACTTGTTTTCAAACCCGGGGATCTCTAGGTTAGGTTTGCAGTCTATATTTATTTTCCATGGTGGTATTACAAGCATGTATGGGGTTTATTACTTGTTAAAACCTTAGTATGTAGTACACAGAAGTGCTTAGTATTTTGTTCTATAAGACAGGTATAAATAAAGTATGACCATTGGTAGCACAGAGATGGGAGAGGTCACATTCTGTGGAGAAAGAACTGGAAAAGATTCGTGGAAGAACATTTGAGCTGGGATATCAAAGCACGCATGTGATTTCAGTTGAAGTTTGGGAGCTTTAGTGGTATGTTTGCCCCATGCTAGGTCAAGGTATTGCGTAAGCAGAAATTCAGAGTAAGGACTGTGCATGGACTATTCACATGAAACAGTGAGCATATTCGAGCAGGAATATGGGACTGTGTAGAGACTGTATTGGAGCTATAATTGGAGAGGTAGGTTGGTGCCATGGGGGAGAATGGTGGTGGTAATGGTGGCAGACTAGTACAGCTGGGTTATCCACTAACTGCATTTATGTGTTAATTGAATTCATGTTTTGTCTCTTTCAGGAAGTTCACGATTTATTACAAGATTATGAGTTAAAGTATTGTTATGTGGACAGAAATAAGCGAACAGGTAAGATTTCAGTTCCGGGCATCTGATTTCATTTTGATTGTACATGTAGTCATTATAAAGTAAAACAGCTTAGTGTCTTTTCATTCTTAAGCTACTCTCCAAAATTCTTAAGCATTAAATCACACAAATGTTACTCATACCATTTATTTTCTGAAGGTAATATTAGTGTCCTAAATTTTTCTTTTTGAAGATTTTATTGGGGAATTGGGGGAGGGGAACAGACAAGTTGTTGTCCTTTTGCTCTTCAGTCTAGTTGTGGAGGACGTTGCTTCACTGGCCCATGTTGGTATTATGATTGTGCTCTTCCCGGGCGAGGCAGTTGGTCGCCGGCCATTGGATGGCCGCTCATGCTGGCTGCCAGCCACTCACGGTAGCTTATGGCAGCCCACTGAAGTCCCATTTATGCCTATGCTGTTGCCGGCTACTCATGGTAGCCCAGCTCCATGAGCTGTTGTTCACAATCTTAGCTGTAGAGGGCGTAACTTACTGGTACATGTGGGAATCGAACTGGCAGCCCTGTTGTTCAGAGCTCACGTTCTTACCAACTGAGCCATTTGGCCAGCCCCCTAAATTTTTTTTTTTTAGTATCCTAAATTTTAATCACATAAATTAATATGTTGTTACTAGAGCCTTATGAATATTTATCAACAATGTTGTATATGTTATAATGAATTTCCTTTAGAGGCTTGCTGTTCTCCAATTTTAATAATATATTACTTGACTTAGTGCATACATTGTATGATTTGACCTTAGCTGGGCAAATTGGAAAAATGGCTTAATTTTTCTGGGTATTAGTTTTATATCTGTGATATTAAAAGACTAATATAGATTATTTTCTTTGTGCCCATATGATATGTAAATGTCCAAAAACATCATTTTGAGATGATTAAAAAAAGTAAGGAAAATTATGGAGGATGATATAACCACTGTGTACACATCCCACCCCAAATTAGCAAATGTTCTATAAAAATATTTTGTTTTGGGCAGCCGGTTAGCTCAGGTGGTTAGAGCACAGGCTCATAACACCAAGGTTGCTGGTTCGATTCCCACATGGGCCAAGGAACTGCGCCCTCCACAACTAGATTGAAGACAACTACTTGTCTTGGAGCTGATGGGTCCTGGAAAAACACACTGTTCCCCAATAAAATTTAAAAAAAAAAGAATATTTTGTTTTAAAAATGTTTTGAGAAAATCTTTTTTTGTTTTTAAGTATATATATACCTGCTAGAGACCTAAAATAGATCTGTTGAATAAAAATCTCTGGTAGTATGGTCATGACTTTTTTGACTTCTAAAAATTGAAAAAAGGAACATTACAGATAAAGATGAAATCCAGTTTCTAACTGTCTCTGATTCCATTCCTTCCCTTCCTCCTTACCGAGGGGCAAACATTTATGAATTTGGTACATACTTTCCATACTTTGCCATTATATTGTGGTAGTCATTAGAGCTGTTAACAGATTCTTGTTCTTTTTCTTCTGAGCAGGAGGTAAGATAGTTCTGTGTTCTTTGAAGTTAAGAGAGGACGTGTGATTTGCTTTTTGATGAAGTGTGAGTGGAAATGACACGTATCCCTTCCAGGCGGAAGATTTCAGAGCCAGCATGATTCACTGCTCATCCTTCCTTCTACCTGCTAAAGTAATTGAGAAAGATTATAGAACCTCTTTTAATTTAGGTCCCAGAGTGACCATGATGAGCAAAACCTCCTTCCTTCCTTTCCTCTTTTCAGCATGGGATATGTAGCATGGACGGCAACAAAAAACCCTTTTGTTTCATTAAGCCATTGAGATTGTGGAACTGTTTGTTACCACAGTATCTTGACTAATACCTGACTAACTTGACTCTGTAATTAATAGTGATGTTCTCCATGGTTTTTAAAAAACTTTACATAAATGGTATTTTACTGTATGTTTCATTTAGCAACTTATTTTTTGTTTTTTTTTTAACTCAACCTTGTTTTCACATCTTTCCATGTTGATACATGCAGCTTTAGTTTATTGATTTAAATGACTACAGATTATTGTGTCCTGTGAATTTATTGCCACTGATAAATCTATCCATTACTGTTAGGCATTTAGGAAGCTTTAACTTTTCCAGTATTTCAAATGATGCTGCAATGAATATCCTTTTGTCTTCTAATATACATTGCAACTCTGTTTGTCTACAAGTGAATTACTGGATCATATGTTATGTACAATTTTAATGTTACTTAATATTGACAAGGGGATTAGAGGTAACAGTCTTCACAGCTCACACAGGGCCAGGTATAGTGCTATTCCCATCAGTTAAGATGATAAACCCCATAATTCAGGGTGCATCAGGAAAAGTATTCAGGAGAGTCTTGTCTCAAGAGTGGAGAAAATTAACTCTAGGCTAATGATGCTCTGGTCTTACCCAACAAAATTTAAAAGCGAAACCAGAAATGGCCAAGCTGTTTCCTAGTAACTTAACCACATCCCTAGAACAAAACTCAAGAATCTTTATATTAATTTAAAAAAATATCCAGTACCCAACAAGGTAAAATTTACAGTGTCTAGTATCCAGTAAAACATTACCAGACATGGTAAAGAAGCAGAAAAATACAACCCATAATGAGGAAAAAAATCAATTAATCAAAACTGACTTGAAATTGAAACAGGAATTAATGAAAATGTACATTAAAATAGTTTTTATAACAGTGTTCCCTGTGTACCAGAAGTTATAGTAAAGATTGAAAATATTAAGAGAAGACATGAAAGATACTGAAAAATACCAAGTCAAATTTCTAGAGATGAAAACTACAATGTCTGAGATAAAACAACCCAACAAAAAAACAGTAGATGGGACTCACTGCAGAGTAGATGTTGCAGAAGAAAAGGTTAGTGAAGGGTCGGCCGAGTGGCGCGATGGTTAAGAACTGGCTTGGGATGCCAGAGGGCCCCGGTTCGGATCCCACATATGAGGGCCAGTGACACTGCCCTCCACAGCTAAGATGCTGAACAACAGCTCAACTTGGAGCTGGGCTGCTGTGAGTTGCCGGCGACGGCGTAGGCTGCAGCCCCTGTGGCAGTGGGTTGCCATGGGCTACCGTGTGTAGCCAGCAGCCAGCGTGAGCGGCCGTCCAGAAGCCGGCGACTGATCTGCCTTACCAGGGAAGAATGCAATGATGGTGCCAACTTGGGCCAGTGAAGCAACATCCTCCACAACTAGATTGAAGAACAAAATGACAGCAACTTGTCTGTTCCCCTTCCCCCAATTCCCCAGCGCTGTTCCCATCCCCCAATTCCCCAATAAAAATCTTTAAAAAAAAAAAGAAAAGGTTAGTGAATGTGAATACATAGAGATAAAAATTATCCAAAATGAAACAGAAAAAAATGACTAAAACATGAACAGAGTATCAGCGAACTGTGGGACAACTTCAAGAGTCCTAATGTTGAAATAATTGGAATCTCTGATAGAGGAAGGGGTTAGTACAGAAAAACCATATTTAATGAATTAATGGCTAAAAAACTTCTAAATTTAATGAAAACCCTAAACATAGAGGTCAACAAAGCTTAACCAACCCTAAGTACAAAAGCATGAAGAAAACTACAACAAGGCACATTTTGATCGAATTGCTTACAATTAGTTATCATTGTGGAAATCTTAAAAGCAGCCAGAAAAGAAAGAACATTACGTTACATTTTTAGGGATGAAGATGAAGATGACCATGAATTTCCTGAAAACAATGTAAGCAAGAAGACCATTGGGTAAAAATCTTTTCTTTCTTTACTGAAAGAAAAAAATTGAACCATGTAGAATTATTTACCCACCAAATACATCTTCAAGAACGAGAGTGAAATAAAGATGTTTTTTGCAGTCACCTAAAAGCTGAAAGGATTCTTCACCATCATACTTGCATTATAAAAAATGTTGGGGCCAGCCGAGTGGCTCAGTTGGTTAAGAGCATGAGCTCTGAGCAACAGGGTCGCCGGTTTGATTCCCACATGGGCCAATGACACTGTGCCCGAGCTGAGCTGCCACTGAGCTGCCAACAGGTGGCAGAATGGCTCAGCTAGTGAGAGCACGTGCTCCTAACAAGGTTGCTGGTTCAACTCCCACATGGTATGGTGGGCTACGCCCCCTGCAACTAAGATTGAACACGGCACCTTGAGCTGAGCAGCTGCGAGCTGCTGACGGGCGGCCGGATGGTGACTGGACTTGGAGCTGAGCTAGCTGCGCCCTCCACAACTAAGATTAAAGGACAACAACTAGGCTGTTCTCCTTCCCCAATTCCCCAATAAAATCTTTAAAAAAAAAAAAAAAGTTTAGGGCCGGCCGAGTGGCGCGATGGTTAAGAACTCGCTTGGGATGCCAGAGGACCCCGGTTCGGATCCCACATATGAGGGCCAGTGGGTTGCCATGGGCTACCGTGTGTAGCCAGCAGCCAGCGTGAGCGGCCGTCCAGAAGCCGGCGACTGATCTGCCTTACCAGGGAAGAATGCAATGATGGTGCCAACTTGGGCCAGTGAAGCAACATCCTCCACAACTAGATTGAAGAACAAAATGACAGCAACTTGTCTGTTCCCCTTCCCCCAATTCCCCAGCAATGTTCCCATCCCCCCAATTCCCCAATAAAAAAAAAAAAAGTTTAACCCTCCGTCGCACACAACTGATCTCACAGATTCATTACACACAAATTTTCAAATATCTAACAGTTAACTTAGGTATCGTGACTCATCGCTTCCATATCTTCTCCCTCTACCATAACCTATCGCCAGTTGTGTTTGTGACTTACAGTAAAGAGGTATTTCATAGTGACATCTTTGTGTGTAATGAATCTGTGAGATCAGTTGCACCTGACGGAGGGTTAAGAAAGTCTTTAAGCAGGAAGAAAATGGCACTAGGTGGAAATCTGTATCTACACCAAAAAATGAAGACTACCAGATATGGTCATTATGTGGGTAAAGACTGTTTTCCTTAATATTTAAATCTCTTTAAAAGATAATTGACTGGAGTGAAAATAATAACACAATACTGTTATAGCACATATAGAAATAAAATGTATGACAATAATACAAAGGCTGGGAGGGAATAAATGGAAGTATACTGCTTTAAAGTTATTTGACTGTATAAGAAGTGTTCAATATCACTTGATTGTAGACTGATAAGTTATTGGGATGTCGGAAAAGTCATGACGTATTTTGTCTATGTTTTTCGAAGGTCATTTATTTATATAAAGAACAAAGATCAATCAATGACATATTGCCCATTTTGTTTGATAACCTTTTGCCATTTGTTGGTGAGCTTCATAATTCCTCATTCATAGAAGGACCTGTCTTTATTTGCGAAAAACTGAACAAGGTGCTGANTGTGTAGCCAGCAGCCGCAGTGAGCGGCCGTCCAGAAGCCAGCGACTGACCTGCCTCGCCGGGGAAGAGCACAATGATGGTGCCAACTTGGGCCAGTGAAGCAACGTCCTCCACAACTAGACTGAAGAACAAAAGGAGAGCGACTTGTCTGTTCCCCTTCCCCCAATTCCCCAGCGCTGTTCCCATCCCCCAATTCCCCAATAAAAATCTTTAAAAAAAAAAAGAAAAGGTTAGTGAATGTGAATACATAGAGATAAAAATTATCCAAAATGAAACAGAAAAAAATGACTAAAACATGAACAGAGTATCAGCGAACTGTGGGACAACTTCAAGAGTCCTAATGTTGAAATAATTGGAATCTCTGATAGAGGAAGGGGTTAGTACAGAAAAACCATATTTAATGAATTAATGGCTAAAAAACTTCTAAATTTAATGAAAACCCTAAACATAGAGGTCAACAAAGCTTAACCAACCCTAAGTACAAAAGCATGAAGAAAACTACAACAAGGCACATTTTGATCGAATTGCTTACAATTAGTTATCATTGTGGAAATCTTAAAAGCAGCCAGAAAAGAAAGAACATTACGTTACATTTTTAGGGATGAAGATGAAGATGACCATGAATTTCCTGAAAACAATGTAAGCAAGAAGACCATTGGGTAAAAATCTTTTCTTTCTTTACTGAAAGAAAAAAATTGAACCATGTAGAATTATTTACCCACCAAATACATCTTCAAGAACGAGAGTGAAATAAAGATGTTTTTTGCAGTCACCTAAAAGCTGAAAGGATTCTTCACCATCATACTTGCATTATAAAAAATGTTGGGGCCAGCCGAGTGGCTCAGTTGGTTAAGAGCATGAGCTCTGAGCAACAGGGTCGCCGGTTTGATTCCCACATGGGCCAATGACACTGTGCCCGAGCTGAGCTGCCACTGAGCTGCCAACAGGTGGCAGAATGGCTCAGCTAGTGAGAGCACGTGCTCCTAACAAGGTTGCTGGTTCAACTCCCACATGGTATGGTGGGCTACGCCCCCTGCAACTAAGATTGAACACGGCACCTTGAGCTGAGCAGCTGCGAGCTGCTGACGGGCGGCCGGATGGTGACTGGACTTGGAGCTGAGCTAGCTGCGCCCTCCACAACTAAGAT